AATAGTACATGACAAGTGGTAAGTAATAAGATAAATTTAGTTCAATTGCGCTGGTTAAATTCTTAAAAGATCAGAAAAGAAATGTCCTATTTTCTAGAATAGACGAAATAAGGGTTGTTTTAAGGGGTTAATGGAAATATTTTGACTTTTTTTGGGTGGTACAAATTAGTACAAATTCAGTACTAATAGAATCTATCGTTATTTGTTATTTTTTAATAATTTTTATTCGGATAGTTCCACATTATGTTGGCAGGACCACGATTTTTTTCAAATAACACGGGTTACACAATTCTTTCTGTGGTACAAAATAGTACATGAAAAGTGGTAAATAATAAGATAAAATTAGTTCAATTTTGCTGGTTAAATTCTTAAAAGATCGGAAAAGAAATGTCCTATTTTCTAGGATAGACAAAATAAGGGTTGTTTTAAGGGGTTAATGGAAATATTTTGACTTTTTTTGGGTGGTACAAATTAGTACAAATTCAGCGCTAACTGTATACGTTGTATTTTTTATTTATCTATATATATATTTTTTTTGGTTTTGCTAGCTTAATATGAAGTTGGCAGCACCACGATTTTTTTTAAATGGCACGGGGTACAAAATTATTTTTTGTGGTACAAAATAGTACAAAATGAGTACTAAATTTTCCGATAAGTCGCATTCGATTCTGCTGATTTGGTCCTGGCAGCTTATGAGAGGTGACCAAAAGATGACATTGATTATCCTTGTAGTAAGCCGCAATATCAGAACCGTGAATTAGAAAATCATACGTGACATTACGGAGATTGTATGGTCGCGCGATACTCAGACAACGGGACCATCGCAAAACGAGCGGCGGCGATGATGTCGTGACGAATGCGACAAAGGGCAGAGCCCGGTATCAATGGCCCTCGGCCGGTTTTGTACGAACATCGTTTTGACAGAAGGGTGTCGTCACAGTTGGTGGAAGCGAGAAGGCCGATGAGAGGAGGGTGGGTGGTGTGGATCGGTAAACGAGGCTCTCCGCTTCTGGAGGGTAGCGTGACTCCTTCTCTCCTCTCTATCTCTACCTCTCTCTCCCTCTTCGAGTGTTACAATAAATCAACGACGTGCTTTTGCGAAGCTCCACCCTCGGAGACCTTCGCCGTATATAGGCAGTATATCCCATACACGATGCGACACCCCGGTCCGACTCTGTACGTCCCGGTCCTCATTGTGTCCAAAGTGGTCTGTCTGTCGATTTCGGAATGGATCAGCTCCTATAAACAATTTATTCTTTCAGTGCGCGCGACCGACCGTGAGAGATCCGCGTATGGCTTAGTAATCAGCGAAATTGAAAGACCGCTGTTTGTTCGTGAAATATTAATAGCGGATATTTCTGCAGATATATTCTCGTGAAAATTTAAGCGTCTTGATCAACAAAAATTATTTTCGCCACAAATTATTCATATATTATTAACGTTAAAAATATTTATAGCACGCATGCACGTGGATTTTTGAAAAAAGCGACAATGACAGTAATTAGATCAATAGATCAATAAATGGAGTCTGCATGGGAAACATTCAATCTCGACATTTTCTCCCACGCTTGTACGAGACTTATACCCGTAACCCTTCCGCGGCCAATAACAATCGGCATCGATGCCGAATATCGTGTCACGGGCGTGCCTGGCGGGCACGGTTTGAAGAAAGCGTCGCGTTCGAGCGAACGGGGTAGGTCCGCGATTGGCCTCGCGACCCCTCGATATCGCTCGCTCGTATCGGTTCTGCATCGGGGTTCCTCCCTGCCACATCGTCGACTTTCCGATCGTCCGTGTCCCTCCTTCCCTCGCTCTGCCTGCACTCGTGCGCTCCCTCGTGACAAAGGGGGCGAGAGCCCCGTGGCCGCGGCGACCGATTAATTCACTACAAAGGGGCTGCGTATCGCGTACCGAGCCCTCGACAGGCCCCTCTAAACCCACCTTCGGCCCTTACTGCCAAGGGCGTCCTCGCACTTATCCTTCTCCCGCCGACGCGTTTTGGGGGACGAACCGATCCTCCCTTCCCGAAGAGGATTGGTTCGACCCCCGAAGGGCCGTCGGCAGTGGGAAATGTTTCTATATAAGGTCGCGGTGAGCTGGGATTCGTGTTCAGTGACTTTTGGATAGCCCGCGCTGTCACGCTGGCTGTTGTCATCTATAGTGTCGATAGTGAAATCTCACGGCAGCGACAAAAATAAAGAAGATTCTTCGTCGAGTGCAAGAATGTCCGAGCTGAAGACTAGTGGCTTCTTCCGACCCTGGCATATCCCGAAGACCACAAACGAGGCTTCCGGAATTGTTACCGTCGACAATACGTTGCACGACGTGCCGCGCAACAGGCGGGAGGACGACGAGGAGAGCATCGTGTCTTCGGCGACATCGACGACCTCCACGAGCTCGAACATCGTAGAAGTATCCGAAAAGTACGACACTCAACTGTCGGATCGAGGCACAGCGGATTCCACATCGTCGAACGGTGCTCATCGCACGAGAATCCGTCGCGGCAGCGAGTCCTCCAATGATGCAGCGACCAGCACTACGCCTTCTCTCGAAGGCGAAGACATTGAGACCACGCAAGATGCAACGAACGAATCAAGTGCCTTCCGCTCGCGACAATCAGTCGACTCGAACACTTCCACGGCGCACGCGATTTCTGCTCGGGATTCAGACGAATTCAATGCTTCCGGTGACGTTAATTCCCTGGAATATCTCTCAACGCCTGAATTTCAACGACCGGAGAGCTTTGCAAGCGATGGAGCTTGTTCAATCGCGAATCCGGATATCGCGGGACCATCGGGCGCGAACTCGATAATTCCTGAGTTGTATTACGCTCTTCCCGATTTTCATCCCGCAATCCATTCCGGTGTCCATCACGCGATACATCCCGGAATCGACGCCGGGGTTCATCCCGGAATTCTTTCACCGGGATTTTATAACCGTACCATGGAAGAAGCAGTGCAGATGATACACCGTCAAGATGTTGTCGCCAAACAAATAAAAAAGATGCGTCCAAAAAAGTTTCGCTGCCAGTATTGTGATGTAGCGTTCAGCAACAACGGTCAACTTAAGGGACACGTTCGCATACATACTGGTTAGTTAATATTTTTTGAATACAATTTTTTTACAGCAATAATACCTGCTGATATAAATAAGGAGAGATAGAGAGAACTTGAAGAACTTTTTTAAATGGTCTTATTATGATAATATTAGTTTCGGGCAAAATTTATTTTTAATAGCACAATCCTCTTTTATTTTATTTTATGCAATTAAAATAGAAGATTTCTTTATATAAAGCACATTCAATTGATAAAAGACAACTAGTCGGATTATAAATAAGCGACATTTCATACTACTGCAAAATTATTCATTATTTCCATCTGCAAATAAATAAATTCTATTTCTCAAAAGATATACATAAAAAAATTAGTCTACAAGTTTCACTTTGTATGCATAAATATTATATTTGATAAGCAATTAAAATTGCAAGTGTACGAAAATATTAATTGAAGATAGATATTTTTAGAAAAAAAATTTATAAGTATTTGAAAGTATTGAGGCTAAAAATAATCAGGCTATATTTAACGCCACCTTGCCTCAATGCTTAAATATTCACAATTCCATTTTTGGACTAATTTCCATTCATTTAACAAATTTATAATCCTATATAATCCATCTATGGCTATCCTTCTAATAGTCAAAAGGAAATATAAATGAGTCATTCTTAAGTAAGCACTAATAAACGTACAAATAAATTAGCAAGGACAAAAAATCAAGAATGCATTCCATTGTAACAGGCGAGAGACCGTTCAAATGCGACGTCGAGTCCTGTGGAAAATCGTTCACCAGAAATGAAGAACTGACGCGACATAAACGGATTCATACTGGCGTGCGGCCACACTCTTGCGTCATTTGTGGAAAACGATTCGGGCGTAAGGATCACCTGAAAAAGCACACGAGAACACACGAAGTACGCGATCCGTACCGCGTTTCGGCGGCGGCATTAGGCATGTTCGCTCTGAGCCATCCGTTTCAGCAAACTACAGGATTTCCGCCATACATCTATCAGATCTGACGTCGTAACTTCCTGAAAAATTTAATACGATGATTAGCTCGACTAATCTACTCGACAAACTTCAAGCTTCCGTGACTTTGCGATAAAAGTGATAACTGAAGAGATAAAAAGAGTATCCGAACAATCTTTACGCATATACATATTTTGTATGATATAACGCTTCGGTTGCCTTGAGAGCTTTAAATCGCATCAAAATATTTTTGATACAGTCATTTACACTTAGAAAAAGATTCGTCATAAAACTCCATGGACTTGCCACATCGAGGAAAAAAATCAAGTATTTTTCAAAGTTCTAATGAACATCTTACACTTTTGCATCTTGGAATTGCACGCATTTTCTTAGCGTGACGATAATTCAATGTAGATAATTGTACAGTATAATGTAAATTATGTAATGTAATGTAAATATTCAGAGAATGTATATATTTGAAGAATATGTACGTATTTTATTATATATATTTATTATTATATATATATATATTATACTTGTTATATTTGTGACGAATTTATTGTTACAATTATATGGAATAACTATTTATAAATTAATATTATTTAATGCAGTTCTCTTTTCATCCTTTTCTATTCTAACGCAATGATAACTATTTTTATATATAACTTTAAGTATACCGCATTCTCTCTCTTTCTTTCTTTCTAAGATTTGGTACATTAATTGTTTTAACAATAAGATTTTATTGCAAATATAGATAGATGGATTAAAACGAATGCAACATACATTATCATTGAACAATCAATATTAATTTGTAGCTTTGATTGCAACAATTGAATACTTAAAATTCATGGAATAATTTTATGAATTTCTGTTGTACTGAAATATTTTTAATTGAATCATAATTGATCAAAAAATATTGATCAATAATTTATTATAGTGATGCTTACTGCTTTTTATTATATTACTATAATATTGTGGCCGAACAGTAACTATAATATTTGCCCGACAAATCTGCACATTATTTCCCACACAAAGGCACATATTTAAATCAAGTATTTAAATTAAGCAGAAATGTGCGTTCATCAACGCTGCCATCAGAATCACCACCATTTTCCCGGCGATTGAATTCAAGATGGCGTCACCAACCGCCCCAAACTGCAACCCCTCAAGTAATAGAGAATCCCCTTGCTCGTTTATGTACGATGCGCTGTAAAGGACGTAGGGGAAAGAACGGTGGGTTGCGCCCTTTCGCTCTCGGGCGCGTACGTTTACCGCACGCATGTCTGTATCTGTGCCCTTTTTTCCGCCTTTTTTTTCATTATAATAAGTTTTTATGGGATGTTTCGTGGTTGCGTATGAGTCTGTAATTTTGAGAAGGAAGGGTGTTGCTCGCGTTGAATCAAAGGATTAAAAAAAAGATTAAAATAGGTAATTAATTTTTGTTTTGTTTAGAAATCCTATTCTATCGTAAATATTGTTTTTATTATGATAATGTATAAAATATCCGTGCTTTGTTTGTTACAATTTTTATATAAAAAAAACTTTTCTATCAGAAAGAAAAATTAAAAAGCTGTAATCTGTCACTTGTTAAAATTGTACAACGATTGTCCAACATTTTGAGATAATTATTCAAATTATGAAACATACGTAAATTTATAATTCACAAATATTTATAAAATATAAAATTCAGATCAAACTCAAGTGAGACATAATCTGAAAGAATAGATTTTATCATTTACTTAAATCTCTGAGTTCTTGATTTAATTTTTAATTAACTTTGAATAATTGAAAGAAATTGTCGACAGTTTTAACTTTTCTTCTACTCTCAATTTTAATTAAAGACATAGCAATGAGTAAATTTTGTAGTTTTGGAATCAAAGATTATAGCAGGCGATTAAGAGAGCATTGACTTCCGTCCGGGATTTAACACAGGTACGATCGCAACTGACGAGATTGGATAATGTGAGAGCCGCTGCGGTAGCTTAGCGCGTTAAAGTGCGCCAGATTCTCACACGGAGAGTTTCGGTAGCAGTTTGGGTAGCGGAAACCCCGCTGGGACATTCGTCGAAGCTCGTTGACACCCCCCTACCGTTCAACAGATATATGACCGCGAGCCCTCTAGAGCTCTTTCTCTACAGCACGCACCTTTCTCTCCCCGCTCTCTTTCCCTCTTCATCCGTTATCCCGAGTTTCGACGTTCTTTTCCCGAGGGTGCAAAACTTGGTTTCTTTTCAAACGCCTCTTAATATCCGATTTTTATTCTTTTACACACAAATGCTTTTTTCTAATTTCGTTTTGTGCTGCAAGACGGCAAAGTGCCAGCGTTGATTTTAAATTTCTTTTTACATACAAATATTTTACTTCCCTTGTTTTTTCTTTCTACGGATTATTCTTCTCTCTTTCTTTTGATATCCCCTTCAGGTAGTTTGTCGTCGACCCTGCCTGTGTTACAAACCTTATTACCGTAGGGTGCCTGTAGGTTAAATGATTGCTTAAATACGCCCGGATTACAGCCTGAATACGCCCACCTTAATCTCAGATTACACCGACAGTCTGTCATTATTAAGCCAGTTTGACACGAAGAAAGATATTTGCCACCGCTTCTCTCTTATTGCATTTGTTCACAAATAAACACAGAAATTGTCAAGTTCCTTTTATCATCTTTTGACATAGAAGAATTTCAAAATTCCACGATTCAAAGATATCGAAAATAGAGGCCAATACATATTGCTCTATATAAGAAATGTAATGTAATATAATGTATATAAATGATCTATTTTCAAATCTCTACTCAAATGCTTCTTAATTTAATAGAGTGCTTCGCAACATAAAGATCATCTGATATCTTAATAAAATAAAATAGTAAAATAACATCCCGTTTGTATAAATTTGCAAACGATAGAAAAGATCTTCTGCTTTCTAGTAGAGATCCGTGTGGGATTACAGTAAAGAATATCGATAAATTTACCCAAATGAGATGTAAAAGTACATAATTAATAACGCAAGTCTAGAAAATAAATTTTGAAAAATTGTATGATTTATTTTTTACATCTTATTTGTGTAAATTTGCCGAATTTATTTATTCTAAGCGAATCGTCGCTAGAAAGAGATCTGTTTACTGTATGTATTGCGAGTGTAGCATTAATATCCCTACCTGAATTTTCAGAATTGCCGAAAACGACGTACAATCATCTCTCGATTCCCTAATAGCTGTCGCTCCGAGGAAATTCGCTGTCAACGTATACAAATTCTTCCGCTTTCGCGCCGTTCATTCTTCTCGCCTTCTCCCGTTTCGGCGACGCACGTCCAAACATCACCTGCACGATGCGCTGGACTATGTCGTAGCGCGCAGTGATGCACGCCGCGGGTGGGCCTGTATATCGGAATGTTTGCCCGCGTCATTGTTGCGCGTCCGGCACTCGATACGTTTCTCTCCCGGTTTTAAAAAGCGTTTAAAGCCCCTAATAGCCCAGCTACCCTCCCTCTTGCCTTACGCGATGCTCCGCTGTCTCGCGTCCCGTTCGTTCGGATCTCACATTTTTTTCGGATGTATGCGAGGATGAGTGTGTGTCTCGCGCTCACCCGGAGCGCCGCTGACTTTCTGATATATGGATCGCTTGTATTCCATTCGCAATTCTTTGCTCGGCGCTATGACGTTGCGTTGAATGCGCGCTGATACTTCTCGTTGTGCACACCTGAAAAGTTTAGATCGCTCCCGCCACTATGGCAAGACAACATATTGAAAATTTCTGTCATGATATTCTTTCAATTTAATTTTGATTTATCTCTCAAATGACTATTGATTTCTTATTGTAATTTCTAAAAGATTTAGTGAATTTAGTTCTTATTTATTAGTTGAAATTGTTGTTAAAAGATTTGCAATTTACATTTATAAATCGACGCATAGATTTTTTGCCATACTATGAGTAAAAAAGAAGGGATCTTAAGAGAATTAAAAAAGTTTGTTATTTTTTTATTTAGATATTTATTGCATTTTTTTGTTAAAATTATTATTACAATAAAAATTATTTATTCTGTTACTTTTTTTATTTTAATATGCAACATTTAAGGATTATTCTATATATACTATATAAAGAGATATCTTGAAAGAAAATGTGTAAGATTAAAATCTCTGTATATTAAAACTATCATGATAATTTAATTATTTGTTTGTAATAATGATGTGTATTGCAACTTTATATTTGCTTTGTCGTTTTTTTGTCACAGATATACAATATATTAAAAAAACGTAGATATACGATATGTAAAAACGCTTTTTTCTGATTACTGTCAGTTTTTTTATAAGTCGATTATCGATGAAAAATGTCCTACAAGAATTTTTTGGTTCAGTATTGCTACATTTTTCGTCTATCGTCCATTGAGTATTAGTATTGTTAGTACATATGTATGATTTTATTTTTTTTTCAAATTCATTTCTTGATTTCATATATTCTTCCACCTCGTACATTTCCAGTTGGACCATAATTGCATACTAGATAATGCTTATTCCAATCACCGTGTTTGAACTTTATTCGTCCACAACCGACTTTTGTTGTGTTAGCCCAGACGAGTTGAGTATAATGGCTTATCACGTCACCGTCCTTATCTCTACTATAAATATATTATTTTATTAGAAAATATGTTACACACTTTAAACAATTATTTTTTAATAAAACTTGATAACATTTATGTTTAAATATGTTGATTTTTTAAAATATAGCATGACCAAAAGAAATTATTTATGCAATACGTTAATTTAGGTGACATTTTGGTATATAAATTTGTTTAAATTATACATATAAGTGTATAAAATTTATATGATTATTAAAATATTTATTATTTGAATTACTTACCTATATGCAGAAATTAGATTTTTATCAAATTTATCTACTTCGTTGTACCAGAATTGAATGATTTGTTCCAAAGTGGATTTGTTTTCGTCCGTGGAAGAGATCCATGCTATATTCTGACCAACATTGAATCTTTCTGTAATAATCATTATTTATTAACGAATAAAGTCCCATATATAATTTACGATGACAACTATACTTACATTTATGAGTCATTACTTACCTACATTTCTGCAACTATCGTGACCCATGATGCATTGATTGGCCCATCTTTGTGCAATTGTCTCTAATTCATTATCCCAGGACTAAGAAAATTATATGCAAAGCATTAAGACATTTAAGGATTAGGATAGAAGGATAGAGGATAGAAGGAAAATTCTAAATTCTATTTGCAATTTTATATGCTAATTGTAAATCAGAATTATTACTGTTAACAATCTTTTTCTTTTTCAAGAACTTTTTAAATTTTTAATATCAATTTAGTTACAAATATATATGCAATACTTTTGCAAGTTTTACAATATTTTCAGTAGCTATAATATTAATAAATCAAAATATTTTAAAACTTGCAAAAGTATTCTATATATATATTTGTGCGCACACACACATTGTATCTTACCAAATTTGGCATGTGAACTGCCGCTGGTTGTGGACCGTTTCTTCCTCTGCGTTCCTTACCTAACGCTACATTCTGCCTCAGTTGATTATGTTTTAGTACTATAGCTGATCTTTCAGCATCGGTCAAACCCTGATTACTCCATTGTACGCATTTTGGCCCCGGCGTTGATGACTGTGACATAGAATTATGTGTGAGATTCAATTAATATTCAGCATATTGACTCTAACTTGCTTTTAATGAAAAAGAATAAAAATTTTCACTCGAAATATAAATACAATTTTTTTTGCATTGCAGATTTTTTTAAATCTACGAAAAAGAAAAAGATATAATTATGCTTTTATAATTAACTCTTTAATTAAATATTATATATACATAAATAATTCTACTTACACGGTACATGCACATCGTTTGAAGATTATGAGCATTTTGACACAAGGTTATATTGCAATAATTCGTTGCTGTTGTATCAGAAAATGCTCCAATTATTATTGCAAGATATAATAGAAACATTTTTGCCATGATATTTTTCCGGTTTAGTATTTTTCTCCGTTTTTCGAATTATGTGTGAGAGCTTCGTCTGCTACGAACAACTTTTTGTTAATATTTAACTTTAAGTGAGGATGGTTGAAATTTATATGCTGCCTGTTATCATTGAACAACACTATCTTACTAAGTCTTTCGTTATGTTTTTTAACATTTGCGTGTAAAAGAACACGTATTCTACTTTTCTTTATCTGTTTCTTTCAGTTTTTACGTGACTGATACAAGTATGGAAATTGTTTTTACCTTCATTTGTGAAATACTATTAGCAACAATTATTATATATCACGTTAGTACATCACTAGGAAAAGTTTTTTAAAATATGTCAAAATTTTTTTTATTTTTTTCTGATTATAATAAATTTTGTTTGTATTGTTATGTGTGTGTGTGTTTGTTTATTATCATATAATGATGTTTGCGATAAATAGGTATAGAATGATTATGGGAAAGCATAACGGATTTGTTTTAAATCTCTTCGAATGTATTCTTTAAAAGCAAATATTTTATCATTTAATATGACTTTTTTAATGCAAAATATGAAGTTTCCGATAAGCATTTAATGCGATAAATAAATTAAAATATGTGATTTATAATGAATAAAAAACTGTGAACGACAAGATACTGTTCACGTTACGCGAATGAAGTCAGCTAGTCGACTCGTGATTAGAGAAGAATTTAGAATAGCTCAAATTTAATAAAGTGCAATATGCAGTCAACTTATAGCAATCATACTTACAATTGTTGCACACAGTTTAATGATTAACGACCGACTCACGTTAAATAGTGAAACGTAGATAACGCGAGTGAGGCTGTACGAAGACTAAATCATGTTCGGGTCACTTCTGTTTATATTTCCCGTTGAATCAAAGCTTTCAGGAGAATATCGAATTTTAAACAGATAAACGTTTTTCGCTTTTTGGATTATTTACCACAATCGCGCTCTCTCATCGAAGTTTTCGTTAAAGTCCGAATTATAATGTTGCAGTACAAAGAAACAAATAAGAACTAAATAAAGACATTAAATCGAGTAACTAACAATATAATTAACGAATTCGAAATTTATTAAAATTATCGTAATATGTATCTTAATTATTCCTCTTATAATGGACTTTGTTTTTTACACCTCTCTTACAATTAACTTACAAACTAACTTATAACTAACTTACATCTCATTATATACTATTATTTTCATCTATCCTTTATCTTTTATCACGCTCCTACTTATGCCACACACACGCTACGCCGCAAGCGCACATAATAAGAACCAAACTATTATAAATCTTCTGACTTATTAAAACATCTATGAAAAAAAAGTAAGAATAAAACTGCGATACAAAGTTGTGGACATAAATAATTTCATAATTGCTATATCGATATGATGATATTAATTAAAAGATTGAAACTGGTTTGTTCCAGCAATGACAAACTGGTCCGTTTGTCAGCATTTGTTCTTTGGATTAGTGATTATTAAATAAAAAAATTAAAAAATAAAATAAAATAAAAATAAAAATTGTGTATGTATAATCAAAGATAAAAAATATAGTAATATAAAAGCTTTTTGAAAATGCAATGTATTCTTTTTATTTTATTTTTATCGATTATAATAAATTTTCTGTGTATTATTGTGTGTTTGTTCATTATTTTATATTGTAAATGATAATATTATTAATTTCTATAGTAAATAGCTACAAAATAATTACGACTTTATTTTAAATCATTTTGTACATAGTATATTTTTTAAAAGTCAATATTTTATAACTTAATATGAATTTTTTTGTTATAACATTCTGGTATCAAATTTTCTGAGAAATATTTAATGTGATAAATATAAAATATTTTTTATAATTCCTTTAAAATAAAATTTATTTTATAATGTTTTTATGATGTAAAATGTACTGCTGGATGGATAAAAATAAAGTCTTAGAAGCAAAAGAATTTGCTATTTTAAATATTTATGAATTTTTTATTTTTGCATTAATTATTATAACATCTTATATTTTTATTACAAGCCACACACACAATGTTTTATTATATATATTAAATAATTATTGATCAGGGAATCAAATCTAGCCAGCATCTAATAAATAATTTAAGCGACAAACAACAAACGGGACAAATAAATTTGAATCTTCTTATTAATATCATTATATCAATTGTAAAATTATTTATATCTATAACAGACTTTGCATCAGACAGTTTTATGCTTACTTTGTTATAGATATATTTTTTAGTCAGGATACTTATAATTGTTATTGTTTTTATGTTATTCGAAAACATAAAAAATTTTTTTCCCATTTGTACATTTTTTGTCAGCTTCTAAAAAGCATAAAAGTTGTAGGTGTTAAATCAAAATTATTCCCTGATTTTGTAAATTGATTGACCAATAACATTTCCAGCTGGTCCATAGTTGCAAATGAACAAATTATTATTCCAACCATCTCTCCTAAACTTGATACAACCACAACCGATTTTTGTTGTCTCAGCCCAGACAAGCTGTGTGTAATGGCCTACACCATTACCATCCCTGTAGATTAGTAGATGTTTATTTATAAACTTCTTATATGAAAAAACTGATTTAATTAATTTACATAAAAGAATTAATTATTTAGTATATTTTAAATATATAAAATTTAATATGAAATATAAAATTTTTAATATATAAATTTGTAAATATAATGTGCAAAACATACATACGATTTAATACTTAATTGTTAATACGATTAACATTTAATATTTAAAATTCTTACGTAAATCTTTTAACTTGATTGCTGTCGAATTGAGCAACTTCGTCATACCACATTGAAATCATATCTTCCACTGGGGTGTTATTTTCTGCCGAATTCATTGTCACGGCCAAGTTTTGTCCAACCACGAATCTTGCTATAATTAGATTTATTATTTAAGAACAAAGTGTCAATTATAATTAATATAACTGCAAAAATGACTACTTACGCACGTTCCTACACTGATCATGTTGTATAAGGCACTGATCCACCCATCTTTGTGCAACCGTTGCTAATTCGTCATCCCATGTCTAGAAAATTGCCATGTATTAAGTGCAAGGTATTTTTATTGAATTATTAAAGAATTTTTCTTCTCGGAAAATATACTCGATTTTTATTGTATACAAATTGCGATAAACGCACTTTTTCAAATTTTTTTGACTCTTTTCCATTGTTGTATATTTAAAAGAAATTGAATATTTTAATATATTACCAAGTTTGGCATATAAGCTGCTGGTGGTTGTGGGCCATTGCTTCCTCTCCTTTCATTACCCGATGCGACATATTGTCTTAATTCGTTATGTCTGTTTACTGTACGGTTTTCTCGTTTTCGGTTAATCCACGATCGTTTACATTAACACATGCTGACGACGGATTAGGTGACTATAACATGATATTGAATTTTTACATTTATTCAGAAATATAACTTCAACTTTTCACTTTTAATTAGAAATAAAGACAAATGATAAGACAATAAATTTTGTAATAAATATTTTCCAAAAATTTTTAAATAATTCTAGAACTGTTTTGAATAGCATCTTTTAATCATAATTTTCTTAAGAAGAAAGATTTTTTTATTCTAACTGTGTTAGTAAAAATATTTTTAGTTATATTAGTTTTATAATACTATTTTAAATTTGTGTAAGCTTTAGAAAAATTAAAATGCAAAAAAAATTCTGCTGATACAACCAGACTTAGAAATGATTTTGATTGTTGTTGTTCTTTGGCAGTTCAAGTATGAAGCAGTCTAATTTTCATGCGATTAATTATATAGGTAAAAATAAAAAATTAAAAACATGTATAATACGTTTTTTTAAATATTATATAAAACTTAGACTCTCTGTAAATGCACCAATTCTATATTTGCGCGCGCCGGCATAAAATTCGATCTATCGACAATTTTTAGCAAAATTATTTCTTAAAGGAATATATACGGTCAAATCTGCTTGATTATTATGTATAAACAGAAATAAACTACCTTTTAGTCCAAATAATCACACACACACACACACACACACACACACACACACATGATTGATTTTGCCAAAAATAAATTACGTTAAACAAAAAAATATCTCCTAATTAGATAAAATGAATTTAAGCATATGGAACGCATTTTGTGTTGGTTAGTGTATATATAGCCATAGTTACTTACAGGATATTTGCACATTGTTTGAATAGATCCGCGTTGCGTACATGATCTCAAATCGCAGTAATTGGTAGCTGCATTTGCGCTTGTTATTGCAATTATGGCAAGACATAGTATATTATACATCCATGCCATTTTTTTACTTTTCTTGATTTGATTGGTCTTTCTTAATTTTTAACCAACTACTGTGACGACACCTTGAAAACTGTTAACAAGTTGAGAAACGGCTGCAATTTATACCAATATATACCACGCGTTATCAGTCATCATTACCATACACATTAATTTTATCCATAACTTGCACATAAATTGTCTTCGTTTTTGTTGTCATTCCCGATCACCTTTATATCTTTGTTAAGAAAACATTGCCATATTTGCATTACATGTTGATTACTGTTACTATCATCGCATATATCGATTAGGATCTATTAAAAAATTAAATTATTTTTTAAAAATAAAAATATTTTTTTGTAAATTGTTTTAATTACATTTATTGTTTTTATGAAGAAATATATAGGCATTATTTTTATTGAAAAATTTGCTATTAAAAAGTTTTGAAAGAGAAAAACACACATAGATCATGAATTTAATTCCAACAACTTTATTTGCACAATTGTATAAACGACATTTGACATTAATTTGATAAAAAATTACAGATGTATCAGGCTCTGATGATTGTTAAAATAAATAAATTTGATAAATTAATTATTAATTAATTAATTTGATAAATGATTGTGCGGATGTATGTTGATAACGGCCACGTTTGATGCACGACATATGTATTGACAATTACATATTACTGTGTTTATGGTTCAATAAATGACGCAACCAGCTAAGTAAAGAATTCCTTGCAAGAAAAGAAAGAATATAGAATGAATTATTGTGATTAACTGCGTAGTTTACGAAAAGAAAAACGATTTAGGACGTAAAAGTGTAAATATATAATATAAAAATGTAAAAATAGGATGTATAAATAGAACATAAAAATGTAATCTGTGATTATCTGTTAGTATCTGTGTTTGTCTGTTAATTAGAGCAAGGAACTTATTACGCGCAATCTTAAAAATTTTTATGTTACATTATGTAATATTTTTATGCAATTTACTATATCAAGGACTATAAATGCTAATGACATTATTAGCTTTTCAAATAAGATAGAGTAATCAACAGAACTGAAGGATACATTGATGTACTTTTGGCATTAGCAGTATAATAATAATGATTTAAAAGTAAATAATTGTTATATGTACGAAGAATGGTATTCTAATCAGCATTTAATATCAGATAGTCAAGTAGACATTAGTATTCGCAAATACTGTAACTTGTTATTTTAAGAAATGCTTTAAGAAATGTGTAAATATTAATAACAAAATTCATACGTCATACTTGTGATAACATAAAAAATAATGTCAGGTAAATAATTTTCAAGGTAGATAAAAAGAGTCTTACTAATTAATATATCATACAAGTGTCACACAGTACGCAGTTAGACTTACATTTTACTATTATATTCAAAACTATCCGCTTTGAAAAAATTACACAGTTAATAATATAATTTATTCTATAATTTTACTTAATTTCTTTACAAGGAATCAGTTTTTCCGCCGTTTATATTACAATTTATAATTATCTTGAATAATAATATGCAAGTGCGTCGTGTGAAAACAGATTTACCTACTAACATTCTTGTACATACATATAATACGATTTAGGACGTAAAAATGTAAATATATAATATAAAAATGTAAAAATAGGATATATAAATAGAACATAAAAATATAAGCTGTGATTATCTGTTAATACGAAAACGTTAGTTTGTCTGTTAATCAGAGCAACGAACTTATTACACGCAATCTTAAAAATTTTTATGTCACGTTATATAATATTTTTATGCAATTTACTATATCAAGGACTATAAATGCTAATGACATTATTAGCTTTTCAAATAAGATAGAATAATCAACAAAACTGAAGAATACGTATGTACAAGAGTACATATAATACGATTACAATAATTGCAATTAATATTCATAAATTTAAATGTTAATAATACATATGTATGTAATGCATATATGTATTGTATGGTAATCAATGTTGTTTTGTAAATAACTTTTGAATATTGAAAATTATTTCGTTCGACTTCTTTACTAGACTTTACATTAGACTTGCAATACCGTCGAGTCACACATTTCTCATTCAAATCCGAGCATTAATAAATCCGAGACCGTGAAAAGCTATCAGGTCGATTGAAAAATCGACTCTATCACTCGTCGGCTTATCATTATATGCGCCAATAGAACGGAACGGCCGAAAACGGGTCGATTTCGAACCTTAGTGCACTTCACTGAGAATCATCGTTTTTTTTTTCTCTCCACCCTCCTTCCCATTCTTTCGGAGACTGTCTCGGGCGTCAAAAAATGGGGGCCTTGGTGGGCGGGTGGCTATTCGAATCTCCAAGCAGGGATGAATGGAAGCCATGAGTCCATTCACGCGCGTACCTGACTTCCAGCGTCGAGTCGTGAGAATCAACCAGAGTTCTTTCAAGATCTTTTTCTTCCGCGCTCTCGGCATCGTAGGCACTCCGTTTAAACATCTTTGAGAATAAAGAGTGTGATACACGGCAATTTTCTCTACAGCGACGTTTCTCAGGACGTCCCTCGATTACGTCTGTATTGCGACTCGCGACGTCAAATTTTATGTGCACCGCGTATATCTATATCTGAAACAGACAATTCTAAGAAATATTTTTCATCAAATGTTGCAATATTAAAAATATTGAACCATGGATATATTTATTTTTATAGTTATTTAGTTTTAATTTAATTAATGGATTTAAATGTAGAAGAGTTTTGAACATACTTTAAAAAACGGGGATTTCAGGAAGTTACTTAGGGTCTGAAAACTAATAATGGAGAGATCGTTTCGATCAGAAAGAGCGGCGTTTGGCACCTGTCGCGTTGTTTTGTACGAACTTATATCCCAACTATTCTGAAACGATATACCTGATCCGAGACAAATTAAGCGCATACATCGGAGAATTCGGGAAGGCCGTCGATTACCGAATTCTCAATTTCTTATTCTTACACGTTCCGGAAATTCAATTTCACACGCATTAATGATAATTATCTGCATCTCTCTGGTAGTCTAACAAAGATTGATTTTGTGAGAATACAATAGGCTTTATTGTACTTCTTTTTTGTAAATCTGTATCCATATTGTATCTATATGAAGCATAATTATGTAGCCGTATCTCTTAGGAAATAAGAATTATAAATTACATAACATTAATTCAAAATGAAATTCTAGCTGAGATTTTTTATGCAATAATACGTCACTGATTTTGTGCGAGTAAAATGGTATTATTTTATTAATTGAATTGAGTTTGAAAGCAAAACACAGATACATCCAAAAAATATATTTTTTGTATATTTTTATATTTTAATATCAATTTTCAATTTTTTATTAATGTTTTTTTTTTTCAACTTTTTAATTGGTAGCATATGTTTCTTGTTATTCGCTATTGTCATTATTAAAAATGATATGTAGAAGAGATGATAGAATGTTACATCAAATTAAGAGTGTAAGAGAGTTCGAGAAAGATTTTTTAATATTTTATTATAGAATTTATATTTCATTGTTAATCTCTGCAGTGTCTTCTGTATGTTCTTCTAATTTCTCAGATATGTCATTCTTTATGTGATTGTGTATATCATTGTTTTCTTCATGTTTCTCTAATTCCTCAGATGAATATATTTGACGTTCCTTTTTCTCATCCTTCTTTGGTCGCCATGGTTGCGGTGCCCGGAATTCAAGATCAATCTTCTGTTCCTTATCGTTGTTATTAGAGTGGTTTCTAATCCTCAGTACAAATATATTCGGGTTTTCTTCAAGACTTAATGATTTTTCCACTTTTGATTTTTTAACTCTCTCATTTGTGTAAGAAGATGTAGGAATATAATCGTTTTTTACACTCGGATACAACGTCATTGTACGACACCCCGTCTCTTCCTGATCGCAGGTTTTTTTTATCAATGACGTATCTCGAGGAGTGCGACAAAGTTCTAAATTTCCATCGGGCATTTCGAACACGACGCCATCGTCGCACTTTTTTAAGCTCGATGTCGATTCTTTCGCGGCTGTGTCCTGGCTGATGCATTCGCACGGAGGATCGTACTCTTCCTTGATCGGTTCTTTTTGCGTCCTAATGATGACACGATTGTCATTAAAAATTGCTTCGATTTCTTTATATGGTTGTCCTTTCTTAACAATCTCAGATACAATTCTTTCGGTTGGAGTCTGCTCTACCTCACGTTTCTTCAACTTCGATTTACTCTTGCTTCTCAAATATTGCATGCTTTCTGTCGACGTGCAAGTTACTGCGGCACTTATTTGCCTATGTGAAGGGGCCGAATGCATTCTAGTTGCATGCACAGCGCAATAATTAGAATATTGAGGAAGGATTGATGATTCGTATCCGGAAGGAATGCGCTCTGGCCATGCCGAAGCACAGTAAACATTTTTACGACTGATGTAAGAGGAAACTTTGTCTTTGGGTGTCAAATACGCGTGCTTTGATTTTTCGAATTGAAAATCTCTTTGAGCTCTTTGTCCGCGTTGATGATGCAAAGCGCCGGAATGACGAAAACAGGATGAATAGGATGCTTGTAGACCAACTGGTTCAATGATTAATGAAGGCTTCTTTGTTGCCGGACAGCCACAGTTGAAAGTTGCCGCAATCATCCTTGTTCCTGTTGTTTCGTTATGGATGTAAATAATACGACTTATTACATCACATGATGACAAATTTCGAATAAATTTGCATTTGGTTATCTAAACGGCGACATGTTAGTGATTTGTGAGAAATAACAAGTCTGCGACATAAATTTGTTTTCTGACACGCCGTGAATACGCCAGATTGAAGAATCGATTCTAGCAAACCGTAAACCATAACCATATTTTTACACGAAAATGGAACGTTAAATAAATACAGAATAAATTTTTTCTTTTCACAAACATTTTCTCTCAAACTTCAAATTACTAGTAAAAATGCAGTTTTCTGATAGCAAAGGTAAATATAGGAATATTTTTTTATTCAATTAGTTTGCGAGACTAATTTTAGTTAAAATTATGCTTGCAATTTAACCTAATATTAATTGATATCTTATTTTTAGAATATTTATATGTTTTTGATTACATTTTATTATAGACAAATAAAAAATAATTAAAAAATATAAATAAATATAAATTATAAGATATAAATAATATGTATATAAATATAAATTACAGTATTAAAAATTACAACTGTTAATAAGATAATCTCTATTTAGAGATCTAGAGATATTTAGAGATTTGAAAATAATAAAATTATAATAAAAGAAAAATTAAACTTTATTAAACAAATGTATTGCTTTATAAGCACAAAATATGACAAATTACATTTTTTTAACAAAATATGTAAACATTTATTTAATACGATTCTTTTAAAATGTTTTAACAAGATATGTGCATCTGTTCTTCAATATCTGAAACGTCATTATCTTCACTGCACTCAACCGCCAAGGATGTTTGCTCAAAGTATTATCAAGAGATTGGAGCAGAGATGATTAGCAATCAGTTGATCATTAGACTAGAGAAGGACAAGAGCAGGAAAAAGAAACGAGGAGAATGGGATCCACCTTGCGATTGCGTTGAGATTCAAAGGCCAACAAGCAAAAGCGGACCCAGAATAATTAATGCAGATTGTGACGATCGCATTGTATTTCGCGTCCAGTCAAACTTTCAGTTAAACGGAAAAGAAAATTCTGTGTACAAAGCGCAAACTATCGCTTACAAAGTTTGTCCTGCTTTAAATTGTAAAACATTAGTGATTCCTGATTTGCGCGTTTTGTAAAGCAACAGATTAACGCATAAATTGTTATAAATGAGAATATATAAAAATAATAAAAAGAAATATATAATTTTGATCTGCCAGAAAAATTAAATTCATGTAGGTTGGATCATGTAAAGATGAAGGGGATAGCCATGAATGCAAGACCATCACGGTTTATCCGCAATTTACTACGGGATCCCAAGAGGTATATAGCGATCACGTAACGGAGGGCAATCAGAATATCTTTTTACTAAGAGTGAAAAAGAAACCAGAAAGCTCTGAACAGAAAGCCAGGAACGTCGAACTTGAACTCAGAACGCCTAAACCGCCAACGCCGCCACTTGCACTCGTATCTGCGGTTTCGTCGCCGCAACCCGTTGTCGATTTAAATGCAAAAGTTGTAGAGAAACCAGATGAGATCACTTCTATCACGGCAGAGAAGCTTACCAAGCAACCAACAAAAGAATTAAAACATAAGAAAAAGAAAAAGAAAAAGAAAGAATAATTAACAGCTTGATCAAGAATTATAAATTATATGAAATAAATGAAAATAAATGTAACTATGCTAAAACATGCTATCTTCATGTTTTTCCAAATTTTATATTTTGTAAGGCATAACTGTGCATTTTTTAATTTGTTAATTAATTCGTTTTGTAGAAAATGCACATTTATTTTATTATAGTTTATTATTAGAGTTTACGTAATATACAAGAGAATATAGCAGAATAATCATGGCAATGCATTAGCATAAGTATTTTTGAGAATGTAAAGAACATGAATCTGGGCCGAATCGGTAGCCATCGATGACATTCGGAAGAAAAGCTTAGGACTTCGTCAATGGTTAACGTAGATAGAATCCTCAATACATGAAATACATGTCGCACGGCGAATAGGCGTGAATGCGAAGAGGTGCGAAACTCAGCATGCGCCTAGTTCATTCATCGTTCCGACCGACCAGCCGTGCAAAATTGCTTCGTTACGGCCGACCAGATGAGCCTCTCGTTCAGGACTATTTCCCTTCCTCCTTGACTCCTTTCCCTTTACAAAATCTTCAATGGGTCTCATGGCGATGACACAGTGCGTCTCTAGAGACCGCATTGTTAAACCCTAGCATTATTGTAATCGTTGCTAAATCTTTCGACAACCTCTCCGTGTCAGCAATGGTTGCCTATCGAACAATAAGCAAGAAGGCTACCGTGATTCCTCAGATGTCGAAACTTACGGCGACTTTATAATCTACGATTAGACTAATCCTAAAATGCCATATGCAAGACACATGTCACAGAAATTATTTTTTTCATATTTTATGCATAATTGCGCATTAAAAAATGTGTTCTTTATTTTTTTACATTCCAGATACATAACATTATTTTTGCCTTATCTAATTTCTCTTCTTTAAAACTAGAAATGCATCTGTCGTTGAATTCAGCATCAGATAAGAATAATAATGTCCATAATTCTTTATTCAGTCCAGTACGCCGTTTTATGCGCGGTTTGGAGAATACTTGAAAAATTTGAAACTGTCCTCATATTTCCTCGGCATTGTCACAGATCCTCTCGAAACCGTCACAGTCGGCGAATCACGAATGTCCCGCGAGCATCGTCCGCGACATCGACCGAAATATCTGTCCGACATATAAAGTTGAACGCACAAAGGAGGATGGATGTCGCGATTATCAGCGTGTAGGGAGAGCGCGGAAGGGCACAATACGGAGACGCGCGGGATAAGAAAATGCGTGGGCGGTTTCGTAATCCGTGAATGGCGTGGGAGTTCATAAAGGTGTCGTTCGCATTCTGTGTGGTCGCGTTTAAGGGCGACGACAATGGCACTGGCCAATAAATTAGGACGCCACGAGGGAAGGACGCGGCTCTCGATACACACGGGAAAACAGCGTGACGAGTATGGTCGCGGCGGTTGGGTGAAAAGCTACTCGTTTTCCCTGATCCCGGAGCTGAAGAGGAGTCTGCGGTCGTTGATGAATGGAGCGACAAGTGACCGCGATATTATACGTGGAACGGCTCTCTATGAGCTAAGGACAGAATCTCGACACGCGGGATAAGACGTCTTCGAGATGAAAGAGCGGCAATAATTCATGGACCACTCACAAAACATATAAAATTGAGATTTTTCGCATGATTTGACACACGAGTGCGATTAAAATTTAAAGGAACTTGTAGTACTTTGATCAAAGAGAAGTCCAACGCTATAAAGATCGATATATTATACAAGTAGAACGTGTTTCTTAAAGAAGTACCAGAAAAATCTTGATAAATTAAGCTTTCGTTAAAATTCACTTGATTTGTGTTTAGCGTGGGATAAATCGCTAATTTTTAAGTCGCAAATTCGCTCGTTTTTCCGTTAATAGATTAATTGTCGTCGACAACGGACGAATAAATAAATCAACGCGCGCGTTCGCCACAGGTGGTGCCGCGCACGATCGTTCAGGGTGGTCCCTCGATTTCTCGCATTGTGGCATCGAAAACCGCAACCGTGGCTGCTTAATCCGCGGACGAAGGGTAAGGGGAGAAAGCCGTAATATCATCATTATATTACGTCACACAGATGCGCGGCACGGGGGATCTTGAGACCGCCGTTTTTATATTGCGGTTACAGCACCATTGTGTGCCCCAGTGTGTCCACAAAGGGCCCCAAAAGAACTCCTGCGGAGAAAAGGTCTGCGGCATAGCGTAGTTACTGATTGGCTGCTTCCCCTGTCGACAGCTATGGTAATCTGTACGCACTTCCTGCATCTCTTCTCTTTTCGACCCCCGATTGACACCTGTCGACTCCGTAAACGAGACGTTTTCGCCGAGTTTGAAGAATTATGTCACATTGGATTTATAGAGTATTGCTTTAAAAGAGGAACATAATATTTTATTATTTAATCTTCTCTGCACTTTTGAGTATAATAAATAAAATAATAATTTATTAAGTGAATAGATGCGCGCGGGAGCTTAGAAACTGAATTTTAACTCGCCATGAACGTTGTTGCGCTTTTAGTGAAAATATCGAAATTAATCGAATCAAGATAAACGGTTGTCACATTGTTAAGCTGCACACATATCGGACATTTGGTTTGCTTTCTGAGAAAATTATAGAATTTTGTAGAAAATGAGTGGTAACAGTTGCGCCTGATATGAAGGGACTGCAGACAATAAACTGCGATCGGTGAGGGAAAATGCTGGCGAATCATGCTGGAACCACTAATAGTTTTGACAGTGCTAAATTGCATTTTCATGTTCAGTTCCACAGTCACGACTTGTGCATTATGGTAATTATACATTATAAATTATTTCACTTGCCGTCTCAACTTAACGCAACTAGAACATTTACAAATTCATAAATATTTAATATTTATAAATAATCTATGTATTATTCAAACTTATAATTATGCCATTACATCGATAATTTTGGTGGCAAAATTAGGTGGCAATATCAGAGCCAAAGTTGTTGCTCCAAAAGAAATGCTACTCAACAAAAATCGAAGACTTACACTTTTCGACCTGCCAAGAAGTCAGGAAAATCAAAGTTTGACAGCACGGATGTCAATGTTGTCAACAAGAACGATAGTCATGAGCACAAAACTAAAAGATGTAAAAAGAAAAGATCTAAGAAGAGTGTGAAATATTTAGCAGAGGATCAAGAAAAGAGCGGAGAGAACATTTCACTCCCGTACATTTCTTATTTTTATTGTAGCATACTCTTTTAATATTATTGTCTTATTATTCTATATTATTAAATGCGTTTTACAAATAGACTAGAAGCAAAGAAACTCGAGGAGAAAAGGAAAATGTCCGAAGCTTCTCAAACAATAAATGATACGAAATCGACGGTCGTAATGGAGTTCTCGACGGTCCAAAAAGTTGTGCAGATCGTTGATAACGATTCTGATATTAATTCGGCGCGAATCCCTCTCAAAGATATTGTCGTCAAGAAAGATACGGCGAACAAGAAACGTGATTATAACATTGAGCAAAATTTCGGAACTAATATAGCCACAGCCGAAAATTAAGTTCTTAACGAATTGTTATGATAGATTAAAAAATTGACGTAAAACCCAAAATCGAAAAGTTTTATAAACATAAAACAATATTGTGACAACGAGATGCGTAATAATTAGCGCTAATAAATTAGTGTTAATAAATAATTAACGCTTCATCAAATGTTTCACATTTTTGCCTTCTAATTATATTGCCGTATTCGTTTTATTTTAATATTTGAAAATATGCGAATAGAAACGGTATTTCTTAAAAATGTTATTCGTAGAAAATGAAAGAAATAGGATATTTTAAAGACTATACGCGTTTTTCTGTGAGCGCAACAGCATTGCCATTAGCTTTACCGAAGAATTATTCCACTTGTTTACTACCACTTATTTCCGAGAATTATTCCACT